CAGAAATAAGTTTTCAGAAGGGTAGGCAGAACTAACATTCCTAGCAGTTGGGACCTTGTTTAGGAAGGTGATACAAAGATGACATGAGTTAAAATAATGAGTTAAGTGGTGAATATAATTGAAGTTTGTGAAAAAGGATACATTTGTTTATTTTCTAACTCAATATACTGTAATTAAAACAAATAGATCTTTCCAACGGATATAATTTAATTTTGCAATATGCTGACGGTGGAAATTTGAGAGAATATCTAGAAAAAAATTTTGACAATTTGAAATGGTCAGATAAATTTCGTATTGCAAAAGAAATATCACGGGGTCTTTTGTACTTACATAATAATAATATTGTTCATCGAGATCTTGTAAGTACATTATAATTTTTTATACATTCAGAAATTTTAATTACTTACTGTTTTTTTTTTATTTATAAGCATTCTAAAAACATATTGGTCCATGAGGGGAAAATGATGATTGCTGATTTCGGATTATCAAGAGAGATTAATAATGATTCGTCAATGAATGCGAAACAAAGTATTCATGGAATGCCAGCATATATCGATCCCCAATGCTTTAAGAATAACTCATATAAAACTAATATGAAATCTGACATATATAGTTTTGGAGTAATTCTCTGGGAAATTTCGAGTGGTAGACAACCATTCAACTTATTCACGTCTAAAGAAGCAATAGTTGTTCATATATTTCAAGGAAAGAGAGAGACTCCTGTAATAGGAACACCATCAGCATATCTTAATCTTTATATACAATGTTGGGATGAAGATCCTGAAAACCGTCCAGAAATAAAAGAAATCTTTAAAATATTGGTTAAATTGAGTCCAGAATCATTGAACAAAAACATAAATACAGAAAATCATTCAAATATGTTACTTGAAAAGGCTTTTATAGAACAACAAATTAATTTAATTGAATATACTGAATTTTCCAAGATAGATAAAATTAATGAAAGCAATTCATACAAATATCAGTGGAAAAAATTAACGGTAGTTCTCAAAGCTTTAGAGATTGAAACGAAATTTGATCAAAAGACCATCCAAGATTTTGTAAAAGAGGTATAAAATAGAGATTTAATAATAAAATTTTTTATTTATGCAAATAATTATAGTACGATTATTAATTATTATTGCGATAAACAAAGCTTAAATTTTTACAAAAAGCAAGCTTTCATTCAAATATAAACCATCTTTATGGTTTAACTAAAGGTATGCGCTTTCTACTCTAAGACTGATCCAACTAACAGTTCGAACCTTTATATAGTTACCCAAATATAGTAACAGAAAATTCTTTATTATTATTATATCGAGGTTCACCTGCATAAAAAAAAATAAATTTAATATAACAATTTAATATAAATTAATCTTTCAGGTTTGTAGCGATCTAATATTAACTAATGATTCGAAAAAATTTATTGACTAATGATTCGAATAAATTTCTTTTATATTATATATAAATCTTAAATATCAAAAGATACTTCTGGACGCTTTAATTTAGTCTTGCAATTTGCAAATGATGAAAATCTTCGGGAATATCTAAAAAAAAATTTTTCAGATTTACAATGGACAGATAGAATCAAAATTGCAACGGATATAGCAAAAGGCCTTGCATATTTACATAATTTAAAAATAATTCATCAGGATCTCGTAAGTATCGTTATTTGTTAGTCGGTGAGAAATTATGATTGTCAGTGAAATGGGGTGAATTTGTTTATTTTATCTTACTAATACTACTTTATAGCATCCCATAAACATTTTGATTCACAATGGAAGTGCGATGATTTCAGGCATATTAAAACAATTAGCTATTGACTCGCCAGTTTCCAATTCAATGGATGATAGAATGACAGAGTACATTGAACCTCAGTGCTTTAAGGATTATACTTACAAGCGTAATGAAGCATCTGACATTTATAGCCTCGGAGTAATATTTTGGGAAATTTCAAGTAATCGAAAACCGTTTAGTTCGTTTAGGT